ACAGTTTTTATGCTGTCAGCATAATGCCTTCTATATTTGAATCGATTTATCAAACGATTGGCTCGTACGAACTTACAACAAAGGAACAAAAATAAATAAAAAATTTATGCCATGTGTATGTTACGTAAATATGAACAACATCATCAGTCAATGATTTACAGTATCTTTCACAGTAATGCTGATATATGGACAGGATTTTGCTCAGGTGGTCCAACTTGCAAGCTGGATAAGGGTTCAGTGATGTTCAGCATAGCACTATGCCCCCTTAGCTGAAACTTGGATGGTTTTTTTTTCTCAATAGTGATCAGCAGTGACTGACCAACGTGAAATGCTGGTCCAAGTCGAGGCGATCGATCAAGGCTAGAAACTCTTACAGGTGGGTAGTTTCCTGCTGGTTTTGTTTGTGTTTACGTCTAGAATAGCTGTAAGTAAACAAACATGCTAATGCCTATTTATTTTTTCTGTGCATTCTGTGCCAGAACTAATTATAGGTGGTGGCCTCACGTATACACCTTCCCGTTTTCTTCAGAGGCCTAAAAATAGCTCGAAACGTTTGACGCACGTTAGCCGATATCGAAACATACATACATTTAAGAGTTAGGGAGTAGTTGAAAGAGACGAAGAACATCCGGCTCCGTGCCCACCTCTTCGATTCCGCTGTCCTTCCTGCCCTAACCTACGCCTCAGAGACTTGGACTCTGCGCAGGCAGGACGAGCATGCGGTCAGCGTTATCCAACGCGCTGTCGAGAGGACGATGCTAGGAGTAACCCTATACACGCAAGTGCAGAGGGGAATCCGGAGTTCGGAACTACGCCAACGATCGAAGATCAGGGACGCTGCCGTTTTCGCCAAGGAATCGAAGATAAGGTGGGCCGGACACGTCATGCGATTTTGCGATGACCGTTACCGACTGGATCCCTCGGGACGTCAAACGAACACCTGGACGACCGCCGGCCCGATGGTCAGACTTCTTCACGAAAGCTCTGAACGAAAGGAATGAAGGACTTCGTGTCCCTCGAGCGAGGAGGGTCCACTGGACAACTCTTGCACGCGACAGGGACGAATGGAGACGTTGCTGGCGCCCGCTCGAGCAAATCGATGATCAACGGGACGACAGGAATACAAAGTGTAGTATAGAGAATAGCAGAACTAGTAGAAGTCGTCGATGGTTCCACCAACGCTGCGTAGCATCAGCTCACGCCCTGTTAGTAGTGTTAGCACGAGCGAATGAGCCTAACTACAGCCTCATGGAGTGAGGCTCATTCACCCCGTAGCACGTAGCCACTTTTGTATATCACAGTATATGGTGCACTTCCTAGTTGCTGTTGTTAGCATATTCTTAACGACTGTGTTTTTTGAACCTCGCTTGGCACAGAAGAATAAAAAAAATTTGATAAATAATGCGATGTTTCAAAAAGGGTTAACGTGGAGACGAAGGTCAAAACCGATTTGTAGAATCCTTAAGAGTTTTCATTTGAAGAGCATTTACACGTTGTGTAGCGCTCTTAGAAGCCACTTCGCTTCCTGAGCACCAAACGATCCCTTTAAGACGACCAATGCCGAGAAGCTCGTCGAATATTTGGCGATACTGAGAACTGAAAGCGGATTTAGAGACATCACCGCTCAAACACATGAGCTGTAGCACCGAATTACGTATTAGGTTACGGCTACCTGGTTGTGTAGTAGACGAAAAAGTTCACAGCCGTTGCGACGGTTATAAATGATGATGCTGCTTGTTTCAACATGATGGCGTCAGCGTTCAAGGCATTGCCAACGACGAAGACGACCATGGTGAGAAAAAAGCCAAATACTACCATCATACTGGATAGAATGACAGATTTGTGGACCCGTTTCACAACTTCGCTATCTGAATATAAAATAATATAATACACCTCTATAAACCTCTTCGTTTTACGATAGGCATATTAAAGTCATTCGTCGAGATCAGTCAATAACGTCAAAAATTTTGAAGTAAAGGTGCCAGATTGCGGTGCGACAATAACGTATTCAAGCAGTAAATGCCGAGAGCGGTGCAAGGCATAGACTAACTTTTGTGAAATTCCTTTTCACGCGCTGAAAACACTCAGGCGCGAGCCGCTTCAGTTTTACCTAACTCAACAATGAGCATAACTTTACGAAGCGCTTTGCGGACTCAT